CGTCTCTTTCCGCAGATGTAGTCAATTTGATTTCTATGTATTCCGTCTGGTGAGGTCATGTGCATAGTCACCTCTTATGGTGTCTAAAGAAGGTATTTGAAATGAACAAATCATTGATTTTGCAGAATTCTATCATGCGTTCTCAAGCATCATTTCTATCACCAAGGCCATATTTTCCAACTACAACTACTGATCCTTCCTTTTTGCTCCCAACCTTTGCACTGTGCTTATTATGTGCTAGACATGAGTCTAATAAGCATTCTACAAGAATTAATGTATTTGATTATCACAATTATTCTATGAATAGTACCTTATTTCTCTTATATTTCAGTCTGGGACAGTGAGGCACAGAAAGGTTACATAACCTTCTTAAGTTCACACAGCAAAGCTAATAACCAAGAATCTGACTTGGAATCTAGCTCTTAGTACTCTTCTCCTAGGTGGGTGCCAATAAAAACTGATGAATGGTGAATAAAGAACAATCCCTATCATTTAATTATTCTAACTTAGCCTTTTAAACCCAGTGTGATTTAGAGGATGGCCAATTATACCACTACTTACATTTAGGGAAATTCAAGTATTGGTATAATACTTACAAAAGGAACTCTGGTAGCGTAGTGGTTACGAATCGGGCTGCGAACCGCAAGGTCAGCAGTTCGAAACTCTCAGTTGTTCCGCGGGAGAAAGATGAGGCTTTCTGCTCCCGTAAAGATTTACAGCCTCAGAAGCCCTGTACAGGGTCACTATGAGTCGGAACCTACTCCACAGCACATAACAACAACAACAACAACATAATACTTATGGAGGGGCCCTGGTGGTGTAGAGGGTTATGTGTTGGGCTGCTAACTGCAAGGTCATCACTGGGAAAAAGAAGAGGCTTTCTGCTTCCATGAAGATGACTAGCCTCGGCAACCTTATACAGGGTTATTATGAGTTGTAACTGACTTGATGGCATACAACTACCAGCAACAGCATACCTGTCCAAGCGTAAGTGGAACAGCATCTTGTGTATGAGTACGCCCAATTTTGATGATCTGGGCAAAGTCTTTAGATTTCACATTGAGAGCATCATGTAGCTTCTGTAGTCCTGGTAACAGTACTTCATGAACTTCAGTTGCAGCAGCGATGTGCATTGCAGTGGGGAAAGTATCATTTGAGCTCTGTTTGGAAAAATGTCAAAAGAAATGAACAATAGTAATCAAAAGCAACAAACAAACACACACTTGCACGCTCATCAAGAAAATCTCTGATGACTATCCTGAATTCACTCTATGCATTTAGCACTCAATTACATTTATGTATGGCAAGTGATAGGTCAGTGATGATCAAGCAGTAACCATATGTCTTGTGTGGAGCAGTGTTGTTGATGGGTGCTATGGAGTCAGTTCTGACTCACAGCGACCCTGTATACATGAAACTGTATTTCAGAGAGCAGCTGGTGGGGATGAACTACCGACCTTATGGTAAACAATCCAGCACTTATCCTACAGTACCACACCAGGGGTACTAACATTATATTAATACCATACATCACCTAACTGATTGTATATGTTATATATTACCACATCTGCATTCTAATAAATGACAGTAAAACAGAAAAGTGTAGTTAACACCGCATTTGAAGATAACAATAATAAAACATATTTATATATTACATAAAAGCTTTCATAAACATTTTTCATTTATTAAATTTCAGGAAATTGTGACATTACCACATTAAAAAATAGTAAAGACACACTCTCAAAGAGATTATGAGACCTGTCAAAATATTAGAAACTGACAGAAGTGGAACCTAACCAATTAATTGCCACTATACTAAATATTTTTAAAGTTTGTTTTTGTTGCTCTTAGGTATCTCTGAGTCAATTTCGACTCATACATAATGAAACAATGCCAGGTCCTCTGATCATTTTAAAATTATCTTCAGCAAAATTTTTCTTGTTTGTGATATTAATGATATTGTTAGACCATTTTCTCATTCTTTTGGATAATCTTTCTTTGGAACAAGCAAATATATAGACCTTTTCCCATTAGTTGGAAAGGGAGCCATCTTCCAGATTTGTTGGCAGACAGTGAGCTCGTCCAGCATTATACACGTTTGTTGAAATATCTCAATGATATTCCATCAATTCCTGGAACCTTATATTACATCAAGGCCTTCAGTACAACTCGTACTTCTTCCTTCAATACCGTAAGTCCTGATCATATGTTACCTGCTGAGATGGCTGAATGTTAACCAATTCATTCTCTGGTACGGTATCTCAGTGTATTTCGTCCAACTTATTTCATTTTCTCAAATTTTCTAAATTAATAATAATCAGTACAAAATAAATTACTGCAATATACCATCACTTATGCCACTTCCTACCTATGTGTATTTCCAGTCCTTTTTCTTTCCTAATCCTTCTGAACTTTGTGCTTGGATAAATTCTATCCTTTTGATCATAAGTAGTTGATTATTCTAAGGTGTGTGTACCTCATTAGTGTTATTGTTCCTCTTTATAAACTACGTATTGTTTGGCTGAAAATTGAGCCAGGGGATGAGTTCATTTCTAACTTGAAGGGTGGCAACTAAGGGCCAGAGTCTAAGGGGTTCTAATAGTCTCTATTAGACCGGTAAGCCTGTCTGGTCTTTTTTATGATTGAATTCTGTTCCACATATTTCTCCCATTGTATCCAGGGCCTTCTAATGTGAACCCTTTTAGAACAGTTGGTGTTGGTAGTGGTAGCTGGCACTATATAGCTCTTGTCTCAGATTCACAAAGACTGATGGTCACATGTTCCACTGGTCCACTGGACTAATTATTCCCATGGGTCTTTGAGTTTCTTCACTTTTCTATCTTCCAGACAGTTAGAGATCAACAGCTGCCCCTTAGGTGACTGCTGACAAGCTTTTAAGACCCCTGTCAATACTCATCAAAGTAGGAGGTCTCTGTGGACTTTATTATGTCAATTGAACTTGATGCCCCTGAGTTCTTGGACCTGAGGCTCAATGACTTGTTCTCTCAAGGTATTTGGTTATTTCTAAGAAATTTTCATAATTTTGCCCTCCTGTGTGCTCCACCACATTTATGGATGTATTTACAATAAAGTTAAATACACATGTATAAATGTCTTCTGTCAAAGCTTCATTTATTTGTGGGTATACTCTGACCATCCCTCCCACACCCATTCAGTCTGTGTGTCTACCCATACATTTAATAGCAGATCACAGTTACTCCAGGGTTGTATATATAACAGTATTTACCTCTGCTGTCTTTAGCGCTTGCATTCCTCTAAGAGCTTCACCTGTCTCCATATTTTGCTGATTTCTCTTATTGTAAATTGCCTTCCTCTTTACCCATGTTAATATGTGTCTACCCTCTAGACAGCTTGTGGACCTTTTTCTGACTGATGATACTGAACTTCTCCATTGTTTCTTTCCACAGATCTAGTCTATTTGATTTCTGTGCATTCCATCTGGTTGTTGTTATTATTGTTGGTAAGTGCCATTGAGTTGATTCCGACCCACAGAGACCCTGTATAGGGTTTTCCAAGGAGCAGCTGGTGAGCTTGAACCACTGACCCTGCAGTTCAAATGCCTTTGCACCACACCAAGACTCCTCCCACATTTACAGTAGCTGTTTAAATTGCTGAAAAAGGTATTTACAAAGAAAAAGCTGTTGCTCTTGCGAAATTCTTTTTTTAAGACATCTGGAGATGTTTGTGCATCAAGCCCATCGCATGAATAATTTCTTTTAAAACAATCATCACAAGGCTGTGAGCTGGAAGTTCAGGATATCACAACTGTCTGATTTTTCCAACATTCCATAATCTCTGCATCAATCACCAGTCCTCACCCCCGTCAAGTCCGAGGGTTCTGCAACACGTTATAAAGTTGCACAAAACTTACAACTGTCTAATGAAATAGCTCATAGAATTGTATGATAGACGAATTTCACTATCCTGGCTTCTAAGGAACACTCTGCCAGTATTTATAACACACACTTATTTGTTCGTCTGTCCATTCATGATACTTTTAAAATTCTTCTCTAGCACCACAATTCAAATCCATCAATTCCTCTAG